CACATTATCTCCTTTCATTATATGATTAGATATTGCAGGAGAGATACATTCAGTTTATAGTTCTAATAGATAGATATGCAAGGTATATAAGCAATCCTACAATCCTTCTTTATTACAATCATCCCAATCCCAGGTGGAGCAAAAAATGACACATGTAGAAAGGGGCACTAGCCAATAAGGCAGAAGACTGAGGTTTTGGCCTTAACTCTGCTTCTAAAATAGCTCAATACTTTTTGGTAAATCACTTACTTTTCTCTGAGCTTTGATTTAAGATTGTTAGAACTGTAGAATCAAGGGCTGTTTGTTTGTTTGTTTGTTTGTTCAAGGAATGGGAGAGGAGGAGGCAATCTAAAATAATTATTTTACTAGAAATAAAAATTCAATTTGATGTACATATTATTCATTAAAATCCAATGGGGCAGAGAGGGGAGGAGACCAGGATGTACACAAAACCGATTAGCCTGGGGGAGTCACTCACTTCTAGACTAGGGGCCGTGCTCTGTGGTGAGGATCATCTGGCCAAAGAGCCAGCCTATGAAAGTGCAGGGTGAGAGAGGGCCCCAGAGGAGGAGTGGGAATTAGACTAGCCCAGGAGGATGGCCACTGACTGTCTGATAGGACCTCTCTACCGAGAGCCACAGAAATCCTCTTATCTTTGGTGTGGTTAGATATTTTTTATGATGCATTCTAAAAATATTTTGCAGCCAGGTAGCAACAGAATTTTAAGAGACCCCCCAACAAAGGGGAGAAGAGTAAACCCTGAAGAAGTAAAGTCAGAAAGGCCCAAATACTGTGAAATTTTAGTTTTCAGAAAAATTTGCCTAAACCTCTGAGGATGGGGATGCCCCCAAGTGAGTACGGATTTATTCAAACACAGTAAGACCATAAGTACGCAGAATGCTTGAGAAATGGATTGTCTGATTGACAGCTTGACAGCGAGTTAATTTGGAAAACTTAGTCTCCCAACTCTTCACTATTCAAAGTGTATTTTGAAATAAAATAAAAACGCACAGACAAGTTTTCTTTTCTAAATAGGAACAGTCTCCTGAACATCATTGAATCTTCCTTTGATCATTTTAGGTCCTGCGGTACCTCCACGTCGTTATTTGAAATGTCAATACCTTTGCACAGGATCGAAGAGATGAGATGTGCTAACTAACATTGGACTGAATCTACACAGAGCTCCCGCATCCCTGCAAGAAGCTGTTCAGGAGGGAGGTAAATCTTGAATATGAACTATTTCTTACTCTTTGCCTCCTCATGAAATTTGAATGTGGCAAAAAAAAAAAAAAGCTTATCGAGAATTTTTATTAGTTTGGGTTCATGAGTTTATTTCATCAAACTTCTACTGTATTTTGCTTTAAATCAAAGTGATTCGATATCCATCCATATCACCTGTAATGTCTGCACTCTTTCAACAGAGCAATTAGAGCAATATTTCTTGGCCCAGACATTTTCAATGACGTTTCTGAAGCTTATAACTGACAAATCATTTTTGTGAAGTACTATAAGAAGTTGGGAGCAGAAATTCTACTCACAATTTAACTTCCTTGAATTGGCAGGCACTGTGTTTTAAATTCTTACTCTACTGTGGAGCAAACCTAGGTTGAAATTTTTAAGACAAATAAGGTATATTATTTGCACTGGGAAATTGTATCCATCAATAGTTTTTAATAAACAATGGAAAACTCTATTTAAATTGTTTGCTCCTGGGAGCTCTTCCTAGCATTCCTCCACTGGTTTATGTATACACAGAGCAGTGTCCACAAACTTTGCATGACACTGACATCTATTTCTAGTAATGTAAAAAAAGAAATCTCTAAACATTTTAACATTATCAGGCTGAGGATAAATTTGACTCTAAATTAGTATCTAATTTTTACTCTTTCCTTCAAAGTAAGATGCATACACAATCAAATTCTTTGTTTAAAAAATGGAGATGGTATATGCACAGGCAATATGGCCAGAACAGATTAGTGTCCCTGGGATGGTTCACAGAAGCACTGTCTATAGTGATTTAGCAGGAAGTTCTCAAGGCAGGAAAGTGTTTCAAAAGGTCAATGTTATGTCTTGATGTAATTAATAGAATTTTAAGCCTTTAACTCTTTTTCAAAAAATTCCCATATGCTCAAGATAAGCACTCTGGTATGATGGCAGGAATGGGGGCATCCATGAACCAAAAAGCATAAAATCTCACTCAACAAGGATCATCCAGCTACTGCCACTGTTAAAGGTGAAAAGATCAATAATGAGCCCTGATACCACACTATCTCTTGGAGACCAATTCCACTTGGTGGTCAATTGGCCACACAGGAACCGTTTTACCCCAAAAGGCACATCAAGTCATTTTGAAAAAAATCACCCCACATTCCAGATAGGTCTTCAATAAGCACCACTACCTAAGGGTTTACAGAGCATTTGATCCACTGACAGGACACCCCACACATTCTCACACCAGACCAAGAAACTCACCTTAAACCAAAGAAAATAAGGCCAAGGTCATGAAATCCAATGGTCCTTACTTACTTCAATACCTAGAAGCTGCTGGTCTAACTGCATATCAGAATGGAGTATTAAAGGTGCTGCTGAGGCCTCAGATGGGAGACAACATCCTACCAGCATGGGACACCGTCTTGCAGTGTGCCAAATCAGTGACCCTTATATGCTGCACTATTCCCCAAATAAAGAATGGATGTGTTTCAGAATCAAGGCATGGAATCAATAATGGCCCCCTTTACCGTCACCACAGGACTCACTCGGGGAACGTGTCCTTCCTATTACCAAAACTCTGGGCTCTGCAGATTTAAAGAAAACACTTCCACCAGCAGATATAGCAAATGTCCCACTGGATATAAGCTAGGACTAGCTTAGCACGTGGGCACTTTGGGTACTTTGTGTCCAGAGGCAGCAAAAAAGAAGGAAGGGAGGGAGGGAGGGATGAAGGGAGGAAGGAAGGCCATGTTGGCAAGGGTAATTAATTGCTCTAGTGGTCAGAAGGGGGTAGAGGAGCTGTTATATATTAGGGTAGGGAGGAACATGCTTGGCATTAAGCTGATTGGCATCTCTTAGTACTCCCTCACCTAGTTTTGATGATAAATCTACAACTGCCACAGTCACAGCCTGAGAAAGGTAAGGAAAACAGGGTCTGGCTCCCCTCGGGGATGAAGGTCTGAGTCACCCACAATAAAAAGGCTCATCAACCAGCAGAGGAACTAACCAAGGGTAATGGGTCTAAAATGAGTTATAAGGAATTTTGCCTCTAGCCCAGCTATAGCAACAGAGGTTCATTTCCCCCATTAACCTTTCTCTGACAAGTCCCCCGCCACCACCACCAAAAGCGACCCACCAGAGTCCTGAAGGAGATGCTCCCGGGTTTATATGAGACAAGTGGATCTGAGAGCAAGAGAAGCAGTTGTGAAGCTGCACTGCCCAGGTCTCCTTCCCCACCCCTTCAGGACTGCAGGACTTACTTCCCCTCGTGAGCATGGCCCCAGTGAAGGAGATTCCCCTTTTCCAGTTAGCCTCTACCCAAAACTGGTCGACATGGAGACATTAAAGCTCAACACCACCCCCCACCCCCACCCCCCAAAAGAAATGACTCTGGCCCAGCTGAGTGAGCTGAGTGGCTAGTGGTTGAGCTTCAACCTATGAAGAAGGAGGTCACCGTACCATTCTGGGTCAGGGCACATACCTGGGTTGCAAGCTCCATCCCCAGGGTAGGGTGCGCAGGAGGCAGCCAATCAATGATTCTCTCTCATTATTGGTGTTTCTATCTCTCTCTCCCTCTCCCTTCCTCTCTGAAATATATATACACATATATATGAAATTACTCTGAAGGGGCTGTCCCAACTTCAGAGCAGCATCATGGCCCAAATTCTTCCCATGCCTAACCCTGCTTCCTTTTCTTCCCTCCACCTTCCCTTGGGTTTAATCCCAAGACCATGTCCTAAAAAACATCCTGCATGCTCATTTCCATCTTAGAGTCTATTTCATTGGGTAAACAATCTGCAACAATAAACTTCCTTTAAGGAAACTCTTATGTACCCCTGCCAGATTAAGAGATGAAAAACTTAATCTCGCTATTTTGCTTAGGCTGTAATTTTTCTTTCTCCTCTTAAGGTCTTTCAAAGAGCTATACTACATAAGATGATTTTTAAAATAATTTTTGATACCACCAATATAGTCACATAGTTAAGGAAGGTAAAGAACCAAGACAAACAGTATAAAAGAATCTAGCTATGGAGTAAAAGATTTGGGTCTTTGTGGCCAAAACAAATTGCTAATGTATTTGATATACATAATTGGCACATGAACTTAAATTGATCCAATTGATCAGAAATCAGGTACTTTTATACCAGCATCAGATTGTAATACCACTTGCTAGCTCTTCTTTCTTGTTTTCTACTCCTGGTCTTGGCTCATCTCTCAATCTCTGGATTGTGTTTCAAGCCTGAATCCCAGGAACTTGTCATTGTTTATCTCTAAAACCTGTTTACCCTCCGGACCTGCCAAACTTCTCCTTCCAACAAGTATCTTCTGCCTTGAAGCGCCCACTGCCTACACCTGCAATATCCAGCAGTGTCTAGTATCTGCCTTAACTAGACACCTTGAATTTACTCTGAAGGGGCTGTCCCAACTTCAGAGCTGAGTTCTTGTGACAGCAGCATCACGGCCCAAATTCTTCCCATGCCTAACCCTGCTTCCTTTTCTTCCCTCCACCTTCCCTTGGGTTTAATCCCAAGACCATGTCCTAAAAAACATCCTGCATGCTCATTTCCATCTTAGAGTCTACTTCACTGGGTAAACAATCTGCAACAATAAACTTCCAGCAGTGTCTAGTATCTGCCTTAACTAGACACCTTCTCCTGCTCAACTATATTTCTTCTTCTTTTCTATTTTTTGGGGATGGACCACAAAAAAATCTATATTTTTATATTGGGGAGAGGGAGTAGAAAAGAAAGCAGCCCCTATACTGGGCCCTACTCAGTGGCAGCTTCTTGTTCCATAGGGTTAAGGAAGACTTTGAGGAAATAAAAGTTGTTTGGAAAAATCCAGGTGTAGTTGCTTTATATGCTGTGATGGGTAGAAGGGATGAAGTGAAGTGTGAAGGCCCCTCACACCCTCCATCTTGCCTCAGACTCTGTCCTGGAGCCCTAGAAAAGAGGGAAAGACCGGAGGTAAGGAAAATGCTGTTTTACTCGGAGGAATCCTCCGGGAATCAACTCCCATCCACCCTCTCTCCCCTTTACATTGCGACCCACACTTAAGGTTGGTCTCCAAGCCCTCCCCCCCACCCCTTTCTTCTCTATGACTTGGGTCTATAGCCGCCAACCCCTAGCTCAGTGTCTCTTGCCCCAGAACATGGAAATAGAATTCTATATCTTTACAATCCCTCACTCACAAAAAAAAAAACAAAAAAAAACCTGCCTAAGTAAGTCTAAATAATCTTGGAAAAGTGAGGACTGTTTAAGTGAAGAAGAGCTCAAATCCTCATTCGTGGATGGCATCCTCAGTACCCTCATTCCTACCTGGCAGTGCCAGCTTGTACCCATACCCCCAACTTGGGCATCTGGGGACTAGGAAACGCACCCCAGGGGTCAGCTGAAGCGGGAGGGAGTGCGGACAAGGGGCCCAGTGCTGGCGCTGCATGCTTGGCCCCACGCTTTCTGATGGGAAGTTTCGAACCCCGCAGGCCCTGGCACGGCCTCGCCACTCCCGGGCTGGGCGCTACAGCCCCAGACCGTTACCTGGGGCGGAGAAAGCGCCACTTTCATTCCTGCTTCTTGGGATTGTTGACGGCCATGGCCACGTAGTGATAGAGAACGACAAGCAGGAAGAGCGACACGCCCAGCATGTTGGCAAAGATGGCCAGCTGCACTTCGGTAATCATCCTGACCAGCTGTGCTCGGCTCCCAACTATATTTCTTCTTAATTATAATACAGAGGAGTCACAGCTTACTCCCAGGGGAGGTGCTGACATAAAACCATGCGGCAAAAAAATATCACCAATAGTATCCTTGAAAATCCAATAAGAACAGAACACACACGCACACACAGACATCTTAAGAAATGCATCACTGCTGTTTATAATTCCAGCATTTGCACAATCTCTCTGAAATCTCTGAAATGAAGGCTTTCGTTTAAGAGGACACATTGTACCCTTAAAACAGTAGAGTAGGTCCTCGGGTTACGTTGGAGATCCGTTCCTACAGTGTGACTTAATGCAATTTTCGCCGTAAGTCAGAACCCACCTACATAATCACCTACGTCACTCACATGGAGCACATACACAGCAGTAATGAAGTGAAAAGGAGAAGGAGAAGGAGAAGGAGAAGGAGAAGGAGAAGGAGAAGGAGAAGGAGAAGGAGAAGAGAAGGGGAGAAAGAGGAGAGAGGAAGAGAAAGAAAAAGAGGAGGAGAAGAAAAATGTGTGTGGTAAAAGCTAATAGATGTTGGTCTTCATTGAGTACTTACTATGATCAAAGTACCATGCAAAGCTCTTTATGTGAATTACTAGAGGCCCGGTGCACAAAATTTGTGCACTGGGGGGTGGGTGTCCCTCAGCCCAGACTGCACCCTCTCCAATCTGGGACCCCTCGGGGGATGTCCCTCTCACAATCCGGGACTGCTGGCTCCCAAGTGCTCGCCTGTCTGCCTGCCTGATTGCACCTAACTGCTTCTGCCTCCCAGCCTGATCACCCCCTAATCACTCCCTGCCAGCCTGATCGATGTCTAACTGCTCCCCTGCTGGCCCAATCACCCCCAACTGCCCTCCCCTGCTGCCCTGGTTGCCCCCAACTTCCCTCCCCTACTGGCCTGGTCACCCCTAACTGCCCTCCCCTGAAGGCCTGGCCCCCCCCAACTGCCCTCCCCTGCTGGCCTGGTCGCCCCCAGCTGCCCTCCCCTGCCAGCCATCTTGTGGCGGCCAACATTTGACCACATGGGGGCAGCCATCTTTGACCACATGGGGGCAGCCATTTTGTGCAAGGGCATGATGGTCAATTTACATATTACCTCATTATTATATAGGATGGGAGATGGCGACGTAACCACGAAACAACATACATTGAGTCTGACTTACATCGAGTCTGATGTACCCCAAGGACTGTCTTTACTGTATTTAAATACTAATGCCCCACTAAGCTTGGCAAGATGCTTACACTACAAGGATAAGACTTCACACCCTCTGAGGGAAAGGCCATTCCTGACATAAGGAAAATTTATGTGTGATCACCTGCACAAGGTAAATGATTATTTTTTCCTTTTGTTTTTACTTTGTTGGTTCATTTGTTTTGGTCATTATAGATATTTGATTGCTTGTAAATTAAGTGCATTCATGCAATGTGACCCAATGGGTTTGACATGTATAGGATAACCATGAGATCAGCTCACCCTCGCCTCTGTCAGGATCTCACCTGTGCAAATGCAGCATCTTGCTGACACCCTGTCCCCAAACTTGTTTTACTTGTTTCAGATTGTTTCAATTTACATATTCAACTCTTCCAGATTCTTTTGATTTACATATTCCCACCACTAATTTTTACCCATGTACATAATTTTACCCATGCCAATTTAATCTCAGCCTGTGACCAGAAAATCAATTTTGCTATTCTGTATGGGTATCAACCCCCAAAGGGGCCCATTCATTTAGCTATTTGGATTATTATACAGAATAGAAAAATAAACACTGAATTCACATAAACACATTAGCTTTTTAAAAATCAGATCAGCCCTGTCAGTGAAGTCTCAAAAATTCATCTCTTGGTTCATTAATGGTATAAGCAAATCTATCCCTGTGGGCAGACTTTAAACATGAGAGAGATTAACACAGCTGCACTAATGCAATCATAATGTCAATAATTTATATTGTGAGGAATGGAATTAGTAAGCCACATTTTAATTATAGGGGTTCATTCTAACACACTATTTGCGTGATATTTTTAAAATTCATCCACTCAGTAATTAATCTGGGCAAGATTATTTTAATAAATTGTAATCAAATACATGATAATAGCATCCTTTCCTCTCAGTAATATATTTTTCCTATTTTCTTGAACATTTATAAAAATATCCCGGGGGTCAGATCTATTCATGACCTTTAAATTTACCAAGCTGTGTAAGTGTGTTTAAGTCACATTAGTTCAATATGTTACCAATGCAAGAACAAGTTATTCAATAAACGAGTGGATATCTGAAAGCATTACTCTGTGTTCATGAATTTCATGTTTGCTCCAAAGTGCAATAAATGGAGAGACAGAAAATAGCTTGAAAATTCAAAGCATGTGATAGAAAATAGCTTGAAAATTCAGGAGCATATTGGATGATCTTAAGAGTTAAACAGTTCTTAAGATGCAAAAACATGTTACATTTGTGAAAAATAAAATAAAACTAAAGTCTCTAATACTATTAAAGATTTGAAAAGAAGTGTTTTTTCTATTATTTTTTCTAACAGGCTTAAATTCTCTGCTGCCCATGTGCTTTTGTTTACAACAGTTCTAGTGGTAAATCTAGCTTAAAAGACACAAGACATACAAAAAAAAATAAAAATAAAGCTAGACCACCAACTGACATTAAGCAAAAGAATAAATTCAAAATGAATCAGAGACTTAAACATAAGCTATAAAACCATAAGAATCATAGAAGAAAACATAGGCAATAAAATCTCAGATATCTCATGTAGCAATATTTTTGCCAATATACCAGTATCTCCTGGGGCATGGAAAATAAAGGAAAAAATAAACAAATGTGACTACATCAAACCAAAAAGCTTCTGCACAGCAAAAGAAACCATCAACAAAACGAAAAGGGAACCCACTGTATGGGAGAAGATATTCTCCAATGATATATCAGATAAGGGGTTAATTTCCAAAATATTTAAAGAACTTATGCAACTCAACACCAGGAAGACAAACAATCCAATTAAAATATGGGCAAAGGACCTGAATAGACACTTCACCAAAGAGTACATACAAGTGGCCAGCAAACACATGAAAAAATGCTCAGTGTAACTAATCATCAGAGAGATGCAAATTAAAATGACAATGAGGTATCACCTCACACATGCCAAAATGGCTACCATCAATAAATCAACAACAAGTGCTAGCAAGGATGTGGAGAAAAGGGAACCCTCGTGCACTGCTGGTACAAATGCAGATTCATGCAGCCACTGTAGAAAACAGTATGGAGTTTCTTCAAAAAATTAAAAATGGAACTGTCGTTTGACACAGCAATCCCAATTCTGAGAATATATCCTAAGAATCCTGAAACACCAATCAGAAAGAATATTTGCACCTCTATGTTCATAGCAGCATTATTTACAATAGCCAAGAACTGGAAATAGCTCAAGTGCCCATCAGATGAGTGGATAGAAAAGCTCTGGCAAATTTACACCATGGAATACTATGCAGCTGTAAAAATACCCTTTGAGACAGCATGAAGGGACCTGGAGAGTATTGTGCTAAGTGAAATAAGCCAGTCAGAGAAAGACAAACACCCTCTGATCTCACTTATACGTAAAATCTAATGAACAAAATAAACTGACCAACAAAATATGAGCAGAGGCATGAATACATGGAACAAACTGACAGATCTCAGAAGGGAGGGGATGGGGGAAATGGAAAGAGATTGGCCAAAGAACATATATGCATATACGCATAGCCCATGGGATAGACCATAATGTGAAGGGTGGGGTGAGAAAATGGGGGATATCGGTAATAGTATCAACAAAATAATAATAATAATATGAGAGAAAAAAGGACACTAGACTTTCAATCCAATGACATAATTGAAATTATCCTGGTTCTCCAGCAAGTTGGATATTTAAGGAGGAACACTTGTAAGTCTTACAGATCACTGGACTGCTGTGTTACTTTTTTTTTAATCTTATATTTGTACTGGCCATTGCAAAGTATTTCCACATGCATTAACCTATCTGATCGTTTGAAGACAAAATAATTACGATAGGTGTTACTATCTCTATTTAATAGTTGAAGAAACTAATATTGGAGAAGTTTGAACTCCAGGTCACACAGCTTTCATGTTGGAGCATTTGCAGCGCCATCTTCAGCTTTGATAACATCTCATCTTTGCTGCAGTTAAAGTGAAGAGAACATGCTCTGTTTACATTTGCAACACAGGGGCATAGAGCAGCGCCAAAGACCCTGCAATTTGATGTATGTTTTGTGAGTGAGTGATTGGAGAGATGGCCAAGTGCCTGGGTGACTGGTGGGCCCCATACGTGAGGGATGACACAGCCACTCCTTGGCAGGCACTGAATGCTCTTGGCAGTGGCACTATGTCTAGAGCTCTGAGAAACTTTAGCTAATAAAGAAGATGTGAGATAGATAGATATTGATATATAGATAGATAGATATAGATATAGAGACATAGACATATAGATATAAATGTATACAGAGATATACAGGGTTGGGCAAAAGTAGGTTTACAGTTGCTTATATGGAAAATAATACAATTAATAAATAATAATGCAGGAATAAACTGTTTCAGATACTCACAACTGTAAACCTACTTTTGCCACCCTGAATATAAAAATACACAATCACAAATAATAAAAAAAGAATGAAATCTTGCCATTTGTGACAACATGGATGGCCCTATAGGGTACTATGCTAAGTGAAATAAGCCAGACAGAGAATGACAAATACTGTATTTCACTTATATATGGAATCTTAAAAAAAAAAACACCAAAAAAACAAATGAATAAACAAAACAAAATAGAAACAGACTGAACTCACATAGATTCTGATTTAGTTATTCAGGCAAGGCCATAGTATAAATATTTTTTTATAGACACCCTCGAGTGATTCTAATGTACAGTCAAATGCTAACAACCACTGACTTAAGACACTTTCTATGGAACTCACATAGATTCTGACTTAGTTATTCAGG